TGATAGAGATGAAGATGAAGACAAAGATGAGTGAGTAATAGAGAGGTTTCGCGTGCATTTCGGATTGTGAGGGCGATTGTTACTTCCCGGCTGCCCACACCGTGGAAGTTGGTTGCGTGACCGCAGAGCCCAGGGGACAACTGCTTGAGGCCGGTCACACGCGGCCTGTTTTTGTTTGTTCTTTGTTGTTTTGTGTGCCTCAGTAGCATATTTATCACTCCTGCCCTGTGACACGGCAGCAGGAAGCGCGGTCGTTGTTAATCCGGGCCACGGCCGATCCGGCATGAAATTTTGTGATTTTGTATTTATCATGATGTTGGATTGGGTAGCTGCTTTTTGTTTAACCGCTATCCAAACAACCTGCCTGGCATGGTAGGACCTCAAGAGACATAAGTCTCAGCCAGTATAGCTTGAATAGATCATTGCGGTGTTCAAGCCCGACCACCACGTCAAAGTAGCAGCTTTCGGTCGGGAGCTGCGTGTATACTTTAGTTGGTATGTAGGTTCACACGTCTCGGATTATTGTGTAGCGGAATTATTCCTTATTTTGATTGCAAGTGAGGCAGATTACGCCAACCTGATCCTCCTTCGCACCTATCCACGAAGTCTGACTTCTGGTTTGTATCATTTGGGGGGTGGGGTGGCTGCGTACAGTTCCTAGCTGATGTTTTAATGACGTTTAGTATTGATGGTTGGAAATGTATTCGCTGCTTATGATTTAATTACTCTGCTTCCCGTCCATTTTTGTCCACCATAGTTGCGCTTTTTCCAAAGTATGACAAAATGAAGTGCTATGCTTATTTGCAAAGTTCTATTTCGAAACTCTGTAAAGTTTGATTGTGTTTCGCTTTCAAGAACAGAACTCTGTCGTACTTTTTTGATGTGTTATATTGTCGTTTGTGTTTAGTATCCGTGTCAGTGTGATGAACTAACATCGGAAAGACATTTAATTTCTTCACGGCAAGTTTAACTACACAGAAGACTACTACAGTATATATTATTTCAGAGCAGAATCTTTAATCTAGGTTTTCGTGTAACACTAGAAAACATTTTACCTAATCTAGATGTTTGTGCGACAAGCGCTAGGTTTGACTTTTGTGGCATAATTTTATCAAATGATCTTGTTTTAAACACTGGGATAGCGCAGAAAAAATTTGGAATTGGTAATTAATCTCAGTCATAAAAAAGTCCAATGGGAACTATTTTACACCAATAGACATAATAGTTTGATGGAAAGAAGACAGTCAGGTTTTATGTGATATTTCAACAATCCGGAAAAAGATAGGTTCAGCATCATAAGTACGCAGTATAAATGGTTTTTTAGACCTTTTAAATAAGAGATAAGTGTTTGCGTTATGGATTTCTATAATTTTGGAAGGCTGTAAGTGGATCATGTGGCTTGTTGACTCTTTTCTTCCAGTTACATTCGTTGGTAAATGTTTATCTCTGTAAAATATATAGTTTGATATAAAAATTAATTTTCATTGACAATTTTAGATTTGATTGCATTTTCGAATGCATTACAAGAAACACCTGTGGTAACAATCCAATCCCAGGACGGTAATAACACTGTAACTGCTGAAAATACAATTCAGGGTGTATCGCCTCATGAGGCGTCCAATGAAAAAGCAGAAAAAGAAGAGCAAACATCTACAATTTCCGAAGACAAAAAAGATGAAATTCCTGATGATGACAAGATGGACACAGACTAATTGGTGTCAACGCTGTAATACCTGAAATCTTATTTTATATACCCGTGGCACTGTGTTAGACCAGCTGCTTATGGTTTTTCAAATATATATATATATATATATATATATAATGGATAAAATTTTCTGACGTGTAGATCTTTGAATGTCAATTTATAAAGCCTTATCAGTGTCAGATATGTTTTCCATTTTGTGTTTCTATGCATATCGTGAGCATTCTCATATCTTCCCTTTCCACTTTTGACCTTACTTTTCATTTTAATATATCTAAAATGAAACGGGATATTTTCACTGCCTAGTTTTTATTTTTCTGATGACATTTACAATAGAGTGTATGCAGTAGCTTACTACTGTATTTTCAAACTAATTTATGTTAATTTTAGTTGAAGATGAAACATGTCAAATAACCACTACTCATATTTATAGCTTGCATGTGTTCATTTTTAACCAACAACGTATTCGTGATGCTTGGCTAGAGTGCTATCTAACAGACCGAACGGTTATTTCTTTGTAAGATAAGTCTTTAATGAACACTACAGTTTGTTTGCAAATAATTTTAATGTGCTTTACAAGACTGAGGGGATTATTTCCTTTAACGAAATAATTCGTACAGGCATAAATCTAAGGGGTGATTATACCAGCAGCAGTGCTCCTTACTCACTGAGACTATGAAAGAAATAAAATGACTTACGTTTACGCTCTGAGCTATACTTGTTATGAAGGTTAATAGTACTACCCCTAGCACATGTCGTTGTACAATTCTTTTACTTAAATATCACTATTGCGTTGATACTGTGTTACATCTAGGCTCGATCACTTTGGGGCGGGTATGTCACATCAATGAGATTTTCCTTACGTCAACATATTTTGCGTTGTACTCAGTATCCACTCAATTCAATGTTATGTTCTGATTCTAAGAGTTATACCAGAAATTTTGAAGGAATGAGACTGTCTTTTATTTTGGGAAAGCTCGCATAGGACACCTAGAAATCTAAGTCTCCCGAATCGATATCAAGATGAACAGCATATGAACCTATTAAGTATCTAGATTCTAACTCCACTTCATTCAATACACTAACAATGGCCTTCAGATAGTTCTTCAGTATGACAATCGTATCTTATGTTGGCATTACACTTGCCGTGTGATTTTTCCACCTCTGTTCATATAATCCTTTATAAAAATCTAGTTTGATTAAGCTATTTGAAGGATTGACTGCTGTACTGGACATTATCTTGACCTCAACTACAGCCACACTACTTGACCTAACTTCTAGTGATAGTCGTTTGGGCGGGAGGTTTAGTTAGAACCATCCCCTTTACCTGCAGCCCAGTAGTTTAGTATCCGAATGTATTGCGTCTCTGACTGGATGTCTTTGTGAATGCGCTAGATACTGAAGTTGTAGTATGGAAATCAGCTTCACACAATGTCTAGGCTCAAGCAATCTGCTGCGTGACCGAATGTGACTAAGTAGTAATCCTCGCCCCTAGCTGCTCTGCTGAAACTAAGTCTTATTTACAGCTGACACTGTTTTCTTACATCATGTCTTTATTTTGTATGCTTCTTTTATGTAATGGTATTTTTTTATAAGTCATCACCCTACACAGCTTGATGTCAATGGATTGGTTACATGTCTCTTTATTCAGAAATAGTAAACTTGCCTAAAGTTTAGGCTTGTATTGACTGCACTTGTAATGCTTCATCATGATGGCTAGTTTAGCTGTTCCCTCATTATTAAGCTCTAGCTACGTGCGAGCTTGTCGACATCCATTACTTTCATCTTGTGGATAGTAATACTATTAGATAGTTGAATTCCTACAATAAATGATGATAAATACAAGTAAGCAACTTGGTGGAGCACTTAAACGTGCAATCTAAGCGTATTTATGCTTTGTTCTCGACATGAAGACATAGTGTTCCGTATTTGGTTGACACTGACACATTCAACAAAACGAGACTCCAGACATTTCAATTGTAATAATTATTATGTTCTGAGCACCACATTAGTGAAGAGCACTTTCGACAAATGGGGACTGCCACATATATGCTTCCACTGTTTGAAGTACTATATATATCTAGGGAATTTATGACAGGAAGAAACTCCACTAGTATGTTAAAAAAGCTTAGCATTACAAGTCGGTTACCCTGTTGTCTGCTTTGTTGAAACGGAAGTCTGGCTTCTGTGATTTGTTTAAGTTTTGAACGCCAGTAACTTCGCTCCCTATTTACAAATCTGGCCTCTCACAGTTGATAATGTTTATTAATTCTATCCGTCCAATCACCATGGGACTTTCAGCATTCAGTAGAAACGTTATTGTACGATGGCGTATATTCGAATCTAATACTAACCATTATTCCAGAACCGAAATAATCTTGAAATCCTCGTTGCTACGTATATTGCCGAAACTGTTGCAACAAGTTCATTGCCCTATGAGAGGAGGCTCATTCAAAAAAGATGGCTGACCAAGGCATAGTACAGGATCCTGTGTTTATTCAAAAATCAGTGGGGGTTGTTGTTTTTTGTCATATCACATCCTACCCGATTGAACTTCTATGGTAGACAGGGAAACATGACAAAATTGAAATCCACAGCTATCACTTCATAATCTTCATAGGTCCTCTGTGTATGATAAAGAGTACAAGGTTTTTAGTAAGACCTGGCTTATGATACTGATTCTTTGATCACTTTTTTCCATTTTTACCTCTGGAAATGTAATCATTACTTTGAGTAGTAAACCGACCTTTAAAATAAATTAATTTTAATTAAATGCCTGCAAATCTGACGGTCTTATCCATAATAGAGTTGTGCTCTACCACGGTGCCCAAGTTTTATACTTATTTTCTGGTTTTTGGACATAGATTTTATCCATCATTCCTTCATTGAAATAAAGCGTGTAGATCATATGATAGCGTTAAATTATGTTATTTTGATTATGTGGGCAAGATGTTTGAATTTCCTTTCCCATCAATGAGACGGAGATCCTTATTCAGAAAACTACTTGGATTTACAACCGCTTCTGGCACCAGGAAAATTAATTAGTGGTGTTGGACACTTTATCTACTTAAGAGGTGAAGTAGGTCCTGCTGTATTTATAAGTGATGAAATTTTAGTAAAGGTACTGAAGATTTAATTGATTTTCACTAACTTAAGTCATTGGTTAATGTGAAAAAAATTGACCATGGTAGCAGCATATTAGGTACTTTCCTTTGACATAAAGCATGTTAGTAACTACAATGTTTCGAACACAATTTATTACTCATAATCATATCGATTTATGCACATCATTTCCTAAACTGATTTCGAATGTAAAAATAACGTTTGTGTTTCTGGAGTGATACTGATACAGAGCCTAGAGTACAAGTCAGCAACACGCTGATCAAAAATCAACTATTGCACTCCACATTACATACTTCAGGGTTAGACTTGTAGATGTCCAAGATACGTTCACACTTAATAATTTGTAAAAATGTGAACACCGAAGGAAAACAGTGCTATATTCTGCAGTTGGTAACTCCTTTACACGTGTAAATAGTTGATAAAGATGAGAGTTAGACTTCTACAAAAAAAGATTTTACTATGATTGACAAACAAAGTTCTGAGTGATGTTTATTTTGACCATCCTAAACAAAGAAAAAAACAGCTCAATTAAAGCATTAAAATAGATATAAATAATCAAAATGATGCCCAAAACCAAATGAACATTGACAGTAAAAAAATTCTTTAAAAAAAGTTATTATTCATTTATGGTCTTCATAAATAAAGGGGTGATAATATTTTCTGTATTCTTCTGCCACGAGCATAGCCTCTCAGCAGAATCAGTAAACTCTATCTTGTCTCAGTATTCATGAATAAGTAAGTAGTAGTACACTGGGACTTGAAAATCACATGACTGAAACTGTATCTATTCAATGTGGAAAATCGGGTTGCTATACTTGTAATCCTGTTGAGAAAGTTTGATTCTTCTTTCAAAAGTGAATGAACTTATTCAGTAACCAGCCGAAATGAAAAAAAAATAGGATGTGCATTCTTCTGATTTGTTTGTACTAAACAAGCTGGATGATTACTGATACACTGTTTACATGGATATCTTAATAATAGGTTTCAATGTTTGTGTTATTCTTATGTTTAGTCAGTGTTTATTATATTATCCAACTTTTCTGATGATTATGGGGTTGGTTCATAAAAACCATTGGATCCTACAATGAAGAAAATAAATGACTTTAAAATTATGATAGCTTTCAAAAATATAAATTTTCCTAAAATCTTTTTTCTCATATACTAATGATAAACATGTGTTCAGCAATTAAGTCATTGAATGTATTCCTGAAGATCATTTTAATTTCGACATGTTTGACTATAGTCAACAAGTGTATGAAACTGTTACTAAGTTCATGTGTTCTTTCTTCCTTGTAAATATTGGACAGGTAAATTAATTTTTAAGCATATGATTTCATGAATATTTTGCAAAATAAGGTTTTCTTCACTCATATGCTGTTTCTGAAGAATACATCTAAATCCAGCAACCCCGCAACACTATCTTCCAGACTTATCGTAAAAATGAAAATACGGATAAATAACACGTGTAACTGATCTGATTTTCTGTGCGTTGAATTTTCTCTAGCGGCTTGATAGGTTTGGGACCGGTTAGAAAACTAGCAAGCTAGTTAATTAGGCGAGGTCTAAGCAGACAGAAATATTAATATAATCAATATCTTCGGTATTAAAGAGACTGCTTTATTCAAACCATGAAAGGATTTATACAGGATAGAAATATATGACTAGTATGCACTAAATGTAACAGTAGAAGGCTAGAGACGGAAGCCAAGGTATCTTCTTCACTAATCAAACCTCTGTTTATATATATATACAGTTTATATTCGCTAACCAATCACAGCATATGATTTTGGTTTACATTATCGACATGAAGTAGTGTTCAAATATGCATAGCATTCTATTGCTAATGCAATATTGAACTGTGGAAATATGTGAGAATAATATTCCGTTGGAACACATTGTCTGTACCAAATCACCACAATATTAAAGTAAAATACTACTTTCAAAGCTCGCTATTTAGCTACCTTTTCCACCTTTTGTCAATTAGGTGATTCCACACTTTATTTCTTCAATAATTAAATAATAACCACACAGTCACATAATCAACAAGTTCATTATCATCAAACAATAGTATGGTTGTATCTCGTATTCTTATCCCTATGGTGCGTCATAACACTTCATATATTTATCACTTTGTCTGTTTTATGCCTTATAATGAGGACAAATTAATTGTCTGACATGTAAACGAGTCATTCGTGATCAAGTCTGAATTCTAAAATAACCGATTGGTGTTGAAATATCAGACTTTCTAAGTGCATTGTCCAATCGTGCCTTTTAATTACTCAGAATCTTGGACAATAAATAACCTCTCTATTTACAGAGATTATTCTAATATGTTCATACAGTGTAATTTGAATTTCTCAGTTAAACAAAATTGCCAATTTCATATCTTTTCCTGTTTATTTAAACAAACGAATGTGACCAATACACTCACTCCTACGATGAATGGGATCCTAGTGAAGAAAAACTATGAAGATAGTGTCGTTTTGATTGATTCACTTTTCTGAGGGATATAAATAAAAGAAAAGTTTACAGCTCATTGAAAACCCATTTTTATTGGCTGTAAAGATAACAAGTTAAACTGCTCATTCATGGAATAAACATACGTAAACAATCGGCGATTTTACAGTTCATAGCCATACAGTATATTACCAATTGAAATAAGTTGAATAGGTAGTAAAAGCCTGATCATTTGTTGCGCTTAAAATCTGCCCATCCCTCTACTCAAGTCAGTGTATCTTGTAACCCACTGTTTGTTCATTCAAATAAATCTTTTGAGGAGGTAACAGACAAATGCAGTTAGAAAAGAGATTCATGAATGGTCTTTAGTCACAATTATATTTGCAGCGTTAGCATAGATATGCACCAATTAATACTGATAAACCAGATGAACACTTAAATATCCTGCAGAAAAATTACGTAATGAGGCTGAGGCCTGAATAAGTTAACAGAATGACTTCGTATGTTTTAAATCACAATCATTGAGTATTAGGAATATCAAAGTTCCTTCGATCACACCAATGTGATCATTTTTCAGACCGAATTTCAAAAATCCAGTTAAAGCACTGATAATCGGAGCTTGAAAGTCTCCTATCTAAAGTGATCATAAAAAACGTCAAAATTACATTAATCTTATTTCTAGAATAATTCGTAGCCGAAAGTACACAAAATTTATGATGCATTTTTCGAAAGCCTACACTGTATTTCCAATTTCGTGTTGTTACAGGAACTGGAATAAATTAGTCTTGTGTTGCGTGACATCACAATTATAGTGATGACACAGTAGTTTCTATGGTTTTAATATAATGGTAACTTAACTAGTAAGTGGAGATAGATAAAAGGGAAGATGTAACCGAATAACCTTTGCAAATATCATCTACCTTCCAAAAGTAACATGTGAATACCAAATGTTTCTACTACAAGTATTAAAACTCTGTGGACAAAACTAAGCCCCGAGTAGCGTTATCTCCAAGTGATCAGTAGAGCAATACATTTCTTTGTTTACGTCAGTATAACTTAAATCTTGTGGATTTCATCTTGATTTGGATCTAGACCTTACGAAAGTTACGACTTGTGTGATGTAATGGGCAGACTTTAAAGGTAACTAGTGGATAATAAACATATAAGCTTATGATAGTCTTTAGAGACTCAACTCTGAATATTATGTTTTCGATTGATAAATACTGAAGTAACAGTGTGAAAAAGGTGAACTCTGCAAAAATATAATCCCTATTTTCAAAATGCAGATCCAGAGAGTCTTGTGTAAATTATCGAAAAATGCTGAAAACAAACGCAGGCACAGATCAGTCAGTATGCTCTTTGTTTTCCTATTTTGAGGTGTTTAACATTTTAAACAAAGAAACAACTTTTAATTAATCTAACCAGTCCAACAATTCGGGATCCATTTTCACAATATTTGAGAACACTAGTTGACTGCCTAATTTAATTTGTGCATTTTGTAAAAATAACAATATTTATATCACGTTGTCTTTCTTGTTATTGGCATGATTGCCAAGAGATAAGCTGTGAGAAAATATACTTCAACATAAATAAGGTTCAGTACATTAAAGGATTTCTATAGAGGGTTTATTATTCTGATGTGTGTACTGTTTGTGAAGATTCGTTTATATTGTCACTAGGCTAGATGTTAAAATTTTTCAATTTAGCGGTTCATGCGCCGATTCACTCTTCCTAATCCAAGAGTATTTGTTATTAGGTTCAGTTAATATTATGGCGAAGTTTATCTTGTCCACTAAATAATAGGATTTCTTTGTCATTCTACCCATCCTATTCATGGTGATTTCTCAGTAATTCATCTTAAATAGCAGTAACTCGTGACATTTCGAATCCAAACACATTTGGATTTTTCACATTTAATTGAACTTTGTGACCCGGATGAAATGGTTGACTAAATGACAGAATTTCAATACAGAACCTTTCAAACAAAAGCCCAACACTTCAGGGTACCATATTCCATACAGCACAATGAGGTAGAGGGAAGAAAAAAGAAATTCCAAACAAATATAATGAGGAGGAATTTACGGAGGGATAGTAACTATTTTTTTGTATTTTTGATTATAGCTTGATTCAACATCGAGTTTTGGTACAAGTATGGAATTTTCAGCATGTGATATCGGTAGCCCAAATTTCGCAGGCCGACCGTTGATATGAGGTGTGCGTCTACATGGGATCGAACCTCGGACCATGTGCACGGTCGGCGGGAGTCCTGACCGCTGTGCCACCGAAGCTCATGAATATTTAATGGATTTGGGATATCACAGACAGTGTATGGCTCTGTGCCATTAAGGACGATTTTGAGCCATATCACCGATTGCCTTCTGCCACTGGTCCTCAGCATCCTGAGATCCCCAACCAGGCAGTCTAAATCTCCCTATGTGGCTCAAACCAACAGTTAAAGATTTCGTGGAGTGATGCCATGTTGGGGTTTGGACACACTTAACTCTTTTCCAACCTAACTCTATGTCAGATGACATTGCTCGTTGAAGTAGGCAATGGCACGACATGAACAATATGCGTCCTAGCCATCTCAACTGATGTAACTTTACAACCTCACCAGCTGATTGTAACTTCTTACGTAATACAGATTTGTTTCTGGTGAATGACCGCTGAGTCTATGTATGATTATTAAACCTAGAAATTATAGATGAAATGGTTAACTGTCACAAAATCACTCCAGCTGTAAACTATTCAGTTAACTGCTAGGAGTATTACGTCATATAGCTTTACTAAACTATGGAAAGTCAACAAACTCCTCAGAACTTCTGCTAATATTATTCACACTTTTCTCACTAGTCAAACAAATGAAAGGAAATAGTGCCCAGAAGCAAGACCCTGTTTAATTCTTACACTCGTTAAAAGTATTTTAAAAAGTATATAAAAGCTAGTACCTTTAATACAAAAAATTCTGATTACATCTAACCTTACTTGAAGTATGGTACGTTTCCAACTTTCCACTACTCGTGGAATTATCATTTTCTGTTATGTTCTGTTTAAAAGTTGAATGGATTAAATTTCCCGTTTGATATCGTTGATTTGTTCCTTGGTAGCTAAAATTTATGAAGTCTACAACTGCATTTGAAAAGTTAAATGGAATATCTGAGCCATCGTTATTATTATGATTATTATTAATAAAATTTCCACCGATGGCTATAGGATTTCGACTACCCTCCAATTCAGTGTTGTTGGTTGATATTCTGTCAGTAACACCATCTGTTCTTCTAGACATATTTGACCAGTTTAAAAATGAATTCGCTGAATTATGTCCCACAGTTCTATCAAACATTGGTAATCGGTTTATTATTCTTGCTCCATCCTCAAAATTGTCACTACATTTGCCATAATAATCACCATAAAATGGAGCGTTGAGTTCATTTGAATTCACTCGGTGACAGTAGGAGGTAACAGGCACGGAAGTAGAAGGAAATTGAGTGGTGTGAGATACTGGACGTGTTGAATGAATTTCATTGAATAAATGGGAATAAAACAATGAATCCAGTGCTTCTGAATTACCTTCACTTAAATTTTGTCTTTTGATATCTTGTTCATTATAATCTGAGTTTGCTAAATTAGCTAATTTAGGTGGGATTGGAGGACGACTTCCAATTTCTGTTCGTTGGTAAGACAAATGCTGTTGCTGGATATGATGAGGAGAACTATTCGTAATCTGTGAAAAAATTGGTGATAAGACAAAAAAAATGTAATTAAAATGTTAGCGTTCATTTTTTTTCTTTTAACAGTAATAAATACCACTTCTGCCACCTTTCTAAAAAAGGTTGAAATTGTCTGCTGTTTCACGATCACCGAGTTGATTGGGAAGAAAAAGATACAGATTCTTCTGTGAAAATAACGGATCAAAGGACAAGGCAAAATGTTGTTACACAGCAACATGTAATTTAGCACATAGCAGATACTCCTTGGATCTACTAGCCAATTTGACATATAATTCTTTATATATTTGCCAACGGTGAACTAAATTAAATATCCGTAGTGGTGGAGCTCCTGACGCAGATTGTAAATCAACTGTTAGTTTGCAAATTACACATTGGCACGGATCGGTGAAGAGTCATTCTATCTGTTCTGATGTAGTATTCGTTATCATACTTTTAGTTCAGTCAAATCTTTGTTTATAACCAATTTTGTGGCTGTTATTTTTAAGTTTAATCTCAGATATTCTCCAAGGTTCTGAGAAATGCATGATACTGGCATCTAAAATAAGTCATAAGTCTCGACTAGGACGGTGAACTCCAGAGTACCTTCCCATCAGTGCGAAAATTTCTGCAGAAACAGCATAATTCATTGGTGCCGATAAGTTTTACTCAATGTTAGTAGGCTACCCCGGTAACGGATTCTGTGAGTATAAAATCCTTACAAAAATGAAAGCAGCAGAACCGTAATGTATAGAGCTGTCTTCTTAAATTACAGGAGTGAGTGAAATAAGTAGCTAGATCGTTTTTCTATATCAAGATACATCTTTTCTTTTTAATTTCAGCCAAGCAGCTGCAAAATAAACATTGTAAATTATTTGAACTCCAGTACTTAAGTATTAAAAATCAAGTACAGAGTGGCAGAAGTGATCCATTTAAGTGGATTATCTTCTTATGTTTATAAACAAAGAAGCTAACTAGGAAAATTTTATTTTATAAATTGCTTAGTCTTAAACGAAATCAGACTTGCATGTTGCACCAATAAATCTTACAGTATTACTTTTCAGTTGTATGTAGGATAGGTAAATACAGCGAAATCAAGTAAATGTTCTTATTTTGTATTACGGAGTTACCAGTTAAATGTAACTACAATCTAACTAGTAAGTGACCAGCCACAGCATCTATTGTTTCAGACACCAATAAGACATCAGTAAACAATTACACGTACAAACAAGTACAGTGGTTAATATTTGCTAATATTAGAAGTACATATTGCGTATATGCTATAACCAAACAAAAGCACTGACTTCCTCAAAAAACCCACCTCTTTGGCGTTGTTTATGCGTGTAGTAATCCTGTTCACAGATTTATTAGAACTGCGTGAGGAGTTCACAACGTACAACTGATTGGATTTAAGTGTATTCACTCGTGGTTTTCTCTTGCGAGTTTGAATCCCTTCTTTCTTCATAGATATAGGTCGATTGATCTAGAATTTTTTAAGGACAAAACGGATCTTTAAAGTAACTAAGATGCAACTGATACGAAAAAAAACCCGGTAACACATCCATGTGATGACTCATGGTTCTAGCATTTTAAACATAAGAATGAGCTATTTGAAAGTGTACATGGTAACTGCAAAGCAAAACACACCACTTCATTTGTTTATTCAACTACCAAGTCGACTGGGTTAGCTTTCTCACGGAGTTGATCAAGCTGATTGAGAAATGATGCTAAAGTTTCATTAAGAAATCGGCAGTTCATAATTGGTTAATTAGACCATCAAGAAAGAAAAAGAAACAGGGCGTAATTCATAATTTACTTAAATGGGTGATTCACCTGAAACAAAATTATCGTGATTCGGACTTCGTTTTGCCTCTTTTAATGGCAGATTAGTGCAAATTTGAGCACACCTAACTATAAACTAAACCGTAATTCACCCTGACCTTGTAATACCTGACTTTTTCTACAAAAATTTTGAAGATGAAAATACCAGGGGGGATTTTCCTTGCCCTAGTCTTCCTCAGCATTTTACTGGATTAATTTTCTCAAGGCGTGTAGTATAATATTTGGATCAATGAATTTTTGAAACTGCTATTCACAGGTAATGCGTCCTGTCACTGTACTGAACAATGTATTAATAATAATGACTTGCATTCTCCATCTGTTGATATTCTCAGAATTAAGTTTCGTACACTAACTTCAGCTACTATTTTAATAGTCAGTAGCTCAAATTTATTTAAAAATTAAATGTATTTGTTTAGCGTAATTTCTAGTGAATATTTATATAATAGTAGCAAAACTTATTTACAATTAATGGACTCATTTTAGCATTCTAAAAATATCCCACTATCTAACCTTGTGTAATTTAAAATAAAGTCCACAGGCATTGCAAACTGGCTCTCCTTCTGTATTCCGTCTCCAAAGTGTCGTTGCCGAAGTATTACAGTTGGTACAAAACTGTCCCGAGCGACGCGCAGAATTTGTGACACTTAACTGAGAAATGGTAGAAAAGTATGAAAGTAATTCATCATGTGAGTTAATTGGATGGGGCAGTAGCAAATTCTGTAATAAGTGGATATATTTATCTGTAAGTAGGAAAAGTATTTAAGGAGATTCTACTGGTATATAGTGAGCTTGCAGACAGAAAGCTTAAATCGATGAATATAATGCATTCGTTATTCTTAACGTCGCCTAGTTTACTAGTCAACCCAATCCTAGGAAAAGAAGGAATGTTGTGTTTGGCATTAGCGACCCTACCTCAGGAAATAAATAAACTTATTCTTCGCTGGAATCGGAGAGATAGAATGATGCGTACTGGTGAAAGCCTTTGAGATTCCAGTCAGTCAGTGTGTCTTCTTTCGATGAAACCAATGGAATACCCGCACCTTGTCGAAAGCTGCTCAGATTGCAAAAAAAAATGAGCAGATATGGTGCAGAAGTGTTCAAATCTGCTAGGACGGATGGAATGGAAGTGGATCCTCTAAATTAATAAATAGAGAGTCAGAAGCTACCACGGTCGGAACGAAAACCATGAGAACACCAACAGATCGGCTATCATGATACCATCAACAGAATTGGAGCCTCTCATGCAGTGGGAACTAATCTGCCCTAGATGCAACTTAAAAGGTAGAAAAGTCACAATTTTTCAAAGATTTTAACTGGAGATATCAAAATATTATTATGTGATATAATTACAAGCCAAATTGGGATAAAACAGGAAGGAGACTCCTCAGGAGGCTCTTGGCAAAATTAATAAGAACAGTTAACTCTTCGAAGACTTCTGCAACCTCAACGATTTGAGGCAACGTGTACAAACACAAGGGCATACAGAAAGTGGCATGGATTTCATCAGATAGATATGCCGAAATTCAGGTAAACTTCACCTCAATTTCAAGAGAGTGGGGATGCTGTTTACTAGGCACAAAACTGAAAAAAGGATCCCAGACCACTGTCTAGTGTAAGGAGCCTTCAAGGTCAAGTTAAAACACCTCTAAAGAAGCTGAAGATAGACTACAGTTCAAGTTCAACATTGAGAAGCTGAAGGACGAAACGATAAAGAACCAATACACCACAGCCTTCAGAACAAAGTCCAAAACATTAAGTAGCATAACGGAAGAAAACTGTGTGAAAGAACACTGGAATTCTCTGAAAGTGGTTTTAAAGGAAACTTGTATAGCCATTTTAGGAAGAAATAAAAGGCAGGGCTAGGAATAGTTCTGTATGGACACATGGAAGCTAATAAAGGAGACAGAGTTCGTATAACAGAAAATGAACCAGTGCATAGATGGACAACGGAAGGAGAAGCTGAATCAGATTTATATTGTACTGAACAAAGAAGAAGACAAAAGATAGTTCTACGACACACTGTCAACGGAAGCTAAGAGGGATCTCAGTCACCATACTAGCTAACCAGGTCGCTATCCGGGAAGAGATTAACAAAGGTGAAATCAGTGAAATATACTGAATAGAATGTATCTCTTGGAACATATATATTTCCGAATTCCCATTTAAGCATTTAGAAAAAACAACAGATTGGGCGAAGAAACATATTCCTTTTCAATTAGTTCCTCATCATCGGCTCTACACTAATATTTAGTTTTTCACATCAAAATGTCTTTTTACCAATCAAGTGGTTATTTTAGTTAATCAATTTTAGGTATAGGCGGGGGTGAAATCAAGAGGTTAAAGGTCATCAAAACAAATAATTAATAAATATTAGTAACAAAATATCTAAGTCCTAAAAGAGGGGTGAAAATTAATTACGGAATTCAAGATAGATTGACTCTTAGGCGTTGTCAAAATGTTATTACATAATCAAGAAATGTGTAAAATAGCAATGATGACTAAGAAGAATAGGACGACTCAGAAGAGTTACGTAAAATACAAACAAGTTAATAGAATTAACTAGAATCGAAAAAATTAACAAAGTCAAAAGGTAGTTACAAGGGGAGAGGAAAAATCGTTTTTAAAAACTTAATACATACTATGTAGTTGGTCATGGCAAAGAAAGGGGCTATACAAATTCCTTTTGAACACATAGATTTTGCTTGTTCAGATGAATTCCGATTGCCTCTGCTGTGTGTAAATGTCGCACTCGTAGACCATGCGAGAGGTTGGGTGATATACGATAAATAACCTTAAAATCTTTGTTAGAGTCGATTCTATGTCCAGTATCGATGAGCTGAGCTAGTTTTGAGCTGCGTATAGCTTTATTCAGACCTTTGCCAAACTAAGATGTGAAATGTCCTGAAATTCGACGATGAAGTTGCCTGATTGTACGCCCTATGTAACTAGCTCCACACGGGCAGCTTAATTGGCAAATACACATGGAAGAGGCGGAACAGGGCAGTCTGCCTTTATTCTTTGAACTAAGTATTGGTCGGCTAGTGAATACACAGCATAGCTTAGCTGCATAGAAAGTCCTTTTGAAGGTTCTTCTCAGACGTTGTGATATGATCTCACTATTAACATCACCTGTGAATTGTAACCTTAGGAAGACTGACTTTTTGAGGACAGTCAGCAACTTCGGCTTTTTACTTTCTGGGTTCATGCGTTTGTTTACGAATTTAGTTGGATGTCCGTTTCTACTTAATAGATCGCAAATATTACCGAGTTTTTCGTTCAGTGTCTCACTTAAACAGGTAACTCTAGCCCGGTGAACCAGACATCTAATCAGATTACGTTTGTATTGTAGAGATACGAAGCTCAGGAAGAGAGTGTATTGTCCAGTGGAAGTAGGTTTCCTATATAAATGTTTACATATTGTTCTGTCCATTCGTTTAGTCATTAGGACGTCTAAAAAGGGGACAGAGTCACTTTCTTCTTCCTCCTTTGTGAATCTTTTACTGGGATATGTTCTAGTGAATTTATCCAATATGTCCTTAGCCTCATTTTCGTTCTTTACAACTTTAAATGTATCATCAACATATCGGCAATATAAATCAGGATTATATATTACACCTTTAGGTGGACCATTCTCTGGTTTCTGCAGGAAAAAATCTGCTAGGATTGGGCCTAGTGGTGATCCCAATGCAACACCATCTGATTGTCTATACATTTCCTTATTGAACAGGAAATTTACGTTCATTGTATACCTTAAAAGAAGTTCTTTTAGGGATGACATTGGAATTCCAATCTCTATACCCTGCTTTATCAATTCATTACCCATGTAATCGACTGTTTCCATGAAAGGCACATTGGTGAATGAGGAAGATGCATCCAGTAATATCATATATTTGTCCCTCATATTTAATTCTTTGATTCTTTCTACAAACGCGAAACTATCTTTTACGCTATTTTTCACAAGTGTCTTATGTAACGGATGTGAAAATTCCACCAGTCATTTCGCATTTGAATGGTATGGTGAGCTAGACATATCGAGGACTGGTCTAAGTGGCAAGTCGTTTTTGTGAATCTTTGGTAAGCCATATAACCTGGGTTTCACCGCGCCTGCAGGTTTTAGTGTTTCATACAAGGCAGGTGAAATATGGTCTTGTTGTCTCAACTTGATTGGTAAAAAAATTTTAGTGTGAACAACTATATATTAGTGTAGAGCCGATGATGAGGAACTAATTGAAAAGGAACATATCCACTTACCATCATTATATCAACTCAAGGCAAATCACACCGCTAATTCACACTCCCCAATTCGACAATCATCATTCACAAAATCAGCAACAGATGGATTCCTACAACTCAACTCCAACACACTCAAAAAAATAAAACTCATTTTTGTCTACAGCAGGAAAAATATTAACCGTATCATCTTAGAGGAAATAAAACATGCCATGTATGTCTAACGCCTACCGGAACAAGCTGGAATCACTAAAAAGCACATCATGTGAGAATCAAATCTCAACACAGTGCACCATAATCGAATAGAGCATGGAATGGTACTCAACTCATTACTCCAACTTCATCGACTTTGGGAAAGCCGATGGCTTAGAAACTGCTTCAACACTACGAAGTACCCCAAACCTTTATCAACCGCATTCAGTAGCTATATGATAGTCCCATATGTCAAATGATTCACAAAGGAAAACTCACAGAAGCTTTTGAACTGAAGACAGGAGTGCGAAAAGGCTATCTGCTGTCACTGATGATATTCCCGATTGTGGCAGACCAAGGCGAGTAAGAAGGAAGTAATAGGCTGGGCCGATAAGAAGATACTATAAGATCTGGACTTCACGGATAATTCACGTCTAATGTAAAACAAATGCAGGGATCTACAGATGAAGACCAACACGCTGGCAGAAGAAGCATCGAAGACAGGACTCCAAGTTAACATAGAGAATACAAGAGTGATGAATATACCTAACCAATAACAAATGCCAATCGCCATCAACGGGGGAAATCTAAAGAAATTCACCTCTTACATTTATCTAGGCAAAATCGGTTCAATTACCAGCGACACAGATAAAGATATCGATACAGAATCGAAGGACAAGACAGGTCTTCATTACGCGGAAATCATTCTGGAAATCTATTGTTGTAAGAATGAAAATACCTACTACAGTCATACAAGAGGTCAATCGCGATCCCGAGTAGCTCAGTGGTAATGTCTCTGACTGCAGCACCGGATGACGCGGGTTCGAATCTCAGGAGGCACATGAGTTCCTTCAAGGTTGCAGATACGCCTTGCTGACTTGTGAGTGCCAACTAGAACGAAACCTAGGTCGAAGGCTTCCTGCCGATAGCTTCCAACTATCTAATATCATCAAATGAAGAACAAGACTTTGATTCTGAATACTAATGTCGACTCATTGCTTATATTCGATTCAGAGAATCGACGTATCGCCAAAAGCATTTTTGATAGGCTTCAGAATTTATCAAAAGTTGCCTTCACTGCATACTTAAGAACAGGTGTCCAGGTCAGAAAAGATTAAAAGTAAGAAACTCTGGCAACGAGCCAACCAAGAACCTGTTGCCCAACAAATGTGCCGAAAAAAATCCAGGTGGGTTTTAAACACACTCTGGGTGACGTCACCCACCAAGTCGTCGAGCGAGACACGAACTGAAAACGACAAAGGTGATACAGAGATGGTCGTGCGAGAAGATGAGAGCCTATGGGCAGTAGTGGAGCTAGCTAAACAGGACCACGAACATCGGGAAAATTCTACTACTCTTATGACGGATAGGAGGGAATAACGACAGCTACAAAACGGAAATTTCGAATTTGTGTAGTTACAGATGATATGGTTATGAACGGTAAATTGTGTTCGAAGCGTCATCCAGTAAATAATACTGCTTCACTGTGTGATATATCTAATAAACAAACTAATAGGGAACTATATACTACCACACTGCCCAAGTTTCACAAATATTTTAGCAGTGAATGATTCATTATTTAAAAATCCCATTACCTAACTAACTACTTCATTCATGTTGGCTGATCAGGACTTTAACTACGCTATAATATATGGCAATCAATTTGAAGCATAAGCATCCAGTTGACCTCTGATAGTCACTACCGTGTCTATTCAGTTTTTTCCATCCCTTCCTCCAACTCCAGAATTTCCTACTGCAATAAGGAAGTTTTCCGGTATTTATCATGGGTAATTTTAACTAACTACACCGTTTGATAGTGAATCACCACTACCTCCACCAGGGTGTCATTTAGCATTAAATATTCAGTTGGTTTACAGTGCTCTACAATATTATTATTCCCCTAGGTTCCTAGTGGGGCATAGGGCATCATAAGCACATGTCATCCTCAGATATCCAATCCATCGATTCCCATTAGCGGTCCACTCAACGGCCTACCTAGCGTGTAATGTCGCTTGAATGTCTCCTCAGCGTATTTCCAATCCATCTTCATTTCCTTCTGAATATCCGTTAGGCAATAGCTTCCTGGCTGGTTCATTGTCAGAGTTCCCTGTTGTTTGTTATTTCTGGCCATCTTATCTTCCGTATCGCGTGAAGCCAACTGTTGATAAAAGTCTACAGCCTCTGAACCACATGGATTTGACATTCCTCATACTAAGTGCAGTAGGTTTTCTAAATGATTTCAGTGGAATGAAGATCTGTCTTTCTTTTCAGATCCTAGCAGGCCTTGACGTCCTGATCACTGACGCTTGCAGCTGAAACAATGCCAGGTAACCAGGTAAGTGAAAGAGGGGACTTCATTTAGATTCGCCCCCCCCCCTTTGATGGTGATTGGCAATTGTTGTTGGTTAGGTATCTTCATCACATCTGTCTTCTCTTTGTTTATCCGAAGTCTTGTCTTCGTGGTTTCTCCTGCTAGTTTGTTGGCTTTTGCTTGTAGATAATATGTGTAAGCTTAATTCTCAATGAACAGAATTCAACCAATAAACTGAAATTACATTCAATGTCATTTTTTATATAAAATAATCTAAATTTTTGAACAAAGCAAGAACTACAGTTTTTGCAGAATAAAGTGGTACCATCTTTTATTTCTTTGCCTTCTCATCAGATGCTTGCAGGCCAAAGACATTATTAAATATATATACAAAAACAATTTTAACATACTAGCTTCTCCCCGTCTATTGAACAACTTACTCTTTGGTGCAATCAAAAATCGATAGATATCCTTCTCATGTTAACTCCAACTGTATATACAAATTTACATGTATCTGCGGGAGCAGTTACATTGGAAGGAAAGAAAGAAAGGCATATCTACGATTTTCTGAACATGTACCAAAGGGAACAAAAGCTTTAAATAGCACCATCCTCAGGCATCTCCTTGACACGGGTCATGAGGTGGACGTCGAAAAGTCGTTCAAAATTATCAATAGGCAAAAGAGCTCAATTCTCCTCAAGTTTACTGAAGCCATCTCCATCAGGCGCCTGAAACCTGATTTGTGTGTTCAGAAAGAAACAGTTATCTGTTTTTTTTTGCCCTGGTAACTGGATATTTTCAACTCTCTTCTATCTGAATGCGTATTGCTGAAAAGTTTCCAATGTGTATGATTATTATTGTTCGGAATAGTTTTTAATATTACATATATATATATATATTATCACTATATGCATATGTAGATCGACTGATTTTTGTTTAAAATGAACTCTGTGCAAGTATGTTAAAATTGTTTTTGTAGATATATTAAATAATCCCTCTGGCCTGTAAGCAGATGACGAGAAGGCAACAAAATAAAAGATGGTACCATTTTATTCTGCTAAAACTGTAGTTCTTGCTTTGTTCAAATTCATTAAGGGGAACAAATGTATGAAATCCAAATATTAGTATTCATTCTGAATACGGGTTCAGCCAAAATCCGAAATTATAAGGATAGTACTAGGCATAAAGAAGGGTTAATGAATTGTTTTTGTTTTTAGTCAACCACCGTACAATTCAAAACTGAATTTGAACTATTCACTTCTACTAGTGAGAAGGCGAAAAGTGAATTGTTAAATAAAGGTTGACAAACAGTGTCAAGAAAGTGTACTAATAAAAAGTCAAAAGATTTGACAGAATAATCTCCCAGGCGATCTCGACTTCACATTGCACTAATTTCTAATTACAGCCACAAATAATTTATGCATGCATTTATTTTATAACAAAAATATTTTATCGTAAACTAAACTGAAACTAAGTAGACACATCAGAAATGGAGGTAGACTTACTGAGTTTGACGATTCAGGAATTTTTCCTTCACTTAGTATTGGATTAACCCTTTCATCAGTCACTTTTATATCCTTCATAATATTTGCTGTATACTGAGACCATGGAGGATAGTTTGAAATCTCTTGTGATAGCTGGGACTCCAAGCGTTTACCTAAAGAAAGAATGAAGCAAACAAATAGATGTAATAATTTGCTAGGAATAATCTTTTTAAAATTGTATTCGATGTATACATTACTCATCATACAGATGAATACATCTTCAAATCTTCCCGTTTTCTAGTGCGATGCAGTTGTTTCCGATTACTAGAATGGTGAAATCCACGTTTTCTTTAAGTCGTATTGCTAATTAATGTGTTTAATAGGACTTTGTAGATCCAAACACCTACTTTTAAAATAACTGAGTAGAAATGAAATTGCGCTACAGATCATCCCCGTTTTTTACTTGATTCACTATAAATCTTTATTGATAATGTTTCCTAAGGAAAACAGGCATGCAGTTACATATATACGAAATGTAAATTATGGATCCATACTAACGTATTCGACAAACTTTAGGCTTTCTGACTGTGTCCTCACGTGTAAGACTGTCTGTATGTTTTATGAGGAAGTAATAATATCCTAAGAGAGGTTTTCCCAGTAGCAAAATGTGAAATGATTACGAAAGGTAGATAAACAAAAGAAGATGGGAATTTCTCCATAGATGAATAGTACAACCAGGAAGGTGAGATGGGTCACTTAAGAAAGAATTTTCTTAACAGGTAAACAAAAGTCTACAACACTGTCTTCGTTTCACAAAAAACAGATTCTGATTAACAATAAAATTCACGATGATGACTAAATATCTAATGGCAACACATAAATCGTATTATTACTATTATCGGCATTACAAGTACAGGTAGCTAACAGTCAAAAATACACTATGGAAACACAGGCTGGTGTTCAGAGTAATAATTGCAAATTAACACCGTGCTAAAGAAAATGTCGTAAGCAGATTTGAATGATTGGCTTTACTGTTAACACTTCGGTCTACAAGTAAAGAGGGCGTATCCAATGTGGAAATGTTTTTAACTTATGCGGTCAAATTTATAATTGCATAAATCCGTCTTATTGCAATTTCATTCTTTTTCCCAGCGACAATGTCATTAGGTATTACTCAACAAAACTACTAAGTGTGTTCACACAAAATCTTTTCGCCTTATCACTTAGATTCGCTTGGAAATATAGAACGAGAAGTGTGACGTTTAATTTCCAAACTATGGATAACACATGTGACTATGAAGTCTTTTATACTTTTTAAATAGACAGTTTCTAAAAAGAATTACTGAGGGAAATAAGGTAATTACCTATATCGTTTGAATTGTTAGTAGTACTGAAAATGAGTGCAGGATCCTTTGAATATGGCTTTACATCATTCCAAATTAGAGTAGATAAATAAGCATTATCACGGTCAGTATCAGACCGTTGTCTGTTCAACGCCTCACGATTGAATAATGGATCTAAGAATGGAATTGAATCATCAGACTGTTCATGCATTCTTCTTGTAGATTGAGTGTTACTGTTGTTATGAATTTGTTGATTGCAATTGTTGCACAGATAAAGCTCAGTCATTCCATCAAAAACCCATTGCTGGTTCTGTGTATTGAATGATCCACATTGTACGCATTGAGGACCTGGTTAATTTTCAGAAAAAATTTTAACAGAAGAAATTTTTATTTTCGGTAAAGTAATTGCAAGACACTTATTTAAAAGTAGACAACCTTTCCTATTTCAAATAGATAATTTACAAAAATACACTCATTTATTTTGAAGGATTTTTGTTTCCCAAAACCAATTAATGCATAAATTTCTAAGTTTTACTGATGCAGTACCCTGAGGACATTATATTGAGAATTCATAACACTACCACATGTTCAACCTCACGCTTATGTTTAGAAATCCCTGAGAATACTAATCATTTTAAAAGTGAACTGTAAGTATTACAGCACTGCATAGAGAGAAACAGAAAGAAAGGTTATTACACATCAGTTATCGTCAGACTAAAAATTTACCCATAATAGAATTATACTCTACCACAATGCACAAGTTTTATTCTTATAAAAATGTCAAGCTTCATTTTGATTCATTGAGCACACTTTCTTGACACTGGCTAGTGAAATTCATAGTATTAAAGGGAGTGGTAACCAATAGGATTTCCACACTTTTAATTCTTTCGTAACTCATTATCAAAATGAAATTAACACTTTCAGTGACTTATGTGTTGTTGATAAGTTCACATTTTACGAGTTGATCACGGATTGATATCAGTTAGAGAACCATTGAAAACCAGGGAATACTGGACAGCTGCTGTTTCATCCTAGTTTGGGAATCATCGGCAGTACGCACCCACTGGGTTTCGAACCCAGGACCTTCCGGTTACAAGGCAAGCTCGTATACCATTCAGCCACTGGGACCCTATTCAATGGTTCGTGAATTCTAACTTCTACCAATTCGTGATTTAGCGCGACCCCAACCGGAAGGTCCTGGGTTCGAAACCCAGTGGGTGCGTACTGCCGATGATTCCCAAACTAGGATGAAACAGCAGCTGTCCAGTATTCCCTGGTTTTCAATGGTTCTCTAACTGATATCAATCCGTGATCAACTCGTAAAACATAACTAATCCTTACAAGCCAAAAACTATAGAAAGTTAATCTGATGCTCGCTAGTGACTTGCTACAGGTTGGAGTTTCCTGAGTTCTAGTGAGAAGTCGTGACCAGTGAGGTCCAATTAGATGTCACGTGTGTGGATGGATGTCCCACCAACGACAATGGTTGGGGTCGCGCTAAATCACGAATTGGTAGAAGTTAGAATTCACGAACCATTGAATAGGGTCCCAGTGGCTGAATTGTATACGAGCTTGCCTTGTAACCGGAAGGTCCTGGGTTCGAAACCCAGTGGGTGCGTACTGCTGATGATTCCCAAACTAGGATGAAACAGCAGCTGTCCAGTACTCCCTGGTTTTCAATGGTTCTCTAACTGATATCAATCCGTGATCAACTCGTAAAACATAACTAATCCTTACAAACCAAAAACTATAGAAAGTTCACATTTGCGAAATTTGTGTACTTTCGAAAAGTCATTGAGATAATGTTTACATAGTTTATTATTATCTTTTATCCCAAACCATTATTACTCTCATCACAAAACATTACCACCTGAATGATTACGAGAAAGTGTAAAAAATAGGACTACCTGTTACTGTTTCATATGTTCAGCTGTATTTTGCATAGTCCCTCAACGGATTAATTTGAAAAACATTCATATCTTGTTGAGTTTTTTATTCATTTACGTTCCCAGTAGAACATAGGGCTCCAGGCTAGAGGCTTGAAGTTTCTGTAGCAGCGTTTATTTTTACAGGATGGGGTTGCTAGCCTCATGCCCAACCTTCCCTCTTTACCATTCTGATTACTGGCTTAGCGAGGTGAAGGAGTGCGTCGGCCAAGGATCGAGCCTCGGATCACATGCGTGGTGGGCGAGCCTTCTACCTCTGTGCCACCAACGCACACTTTTCAAAATGCACGATATGTATTCTTTCATATCGGCGTATGTGGAAAACTACAGGCACTAATCTGACCGGGAAAATGTCCAAATTTTAGGCAGTAAGAACACAAAACAAATGACAGGGAATTCCTAGAAGCCTGAAACTCAGACGAATTAGTAACTAACAGACAGACTGCTGCAGATCGAATCCATCAACTGAATAATAAAGAATAAACCACACAACAAAAATAGTCAAATTCCATGTTAGTATAAACGGATGCATCCACATTGAAGATTGAGAGAAATAATTGTGAAGCGTTGTTATTCTCCTGTTTTTGATCGCTGTGTGAAGAACTGTAGGCGTCATCCAGTTTCATCAGTGACCACCTTTCATCATATACAAGAAATTCCCAGCGTCCTATAAATTTAAATGATTCCCCTGTTCATCTCATCTCACTGGTCGAACCACTAAACTAAGTAACCATTTCGGTACATTTATGTCTAAGATATTCTGATTCAAGAAGTATTTTTTTAAATTCACCATCAGTTTATTTTAACTTACGCTCCATCCATTATATCTAAAACGTAAAACAATCAGAGTATAAACATCATATGTATATTCCGTATACAAAACTTGCCAAACTTCTGTCACTGCTACTTTGGCTGGTCAGTTTAGATACTCGATCATGTGTTTTAGATCATGTGTTCAAATCCTGCTCTACCTACTGATATCATGCCAAGGAGTTTGCACACAAATGCAGCTTACTGCCTACTGCACAATCATGTATGCGAAAGTTGATTTGCATTCTTTTTATTCGTATCATATTTGAATTCGAATTCATTCACTGTTCGCATAAAACAGTTACACCCACATAATATATTTGATCATGAATTGTACAAATAAACATTTGTCTAAACCAAGTAGTAATGGTAATGGTAACAACGGATTTTGAGTACAAAGAATACGTAGGTACACATGAATTTTTTTTTAAATTTTGGTCAGACAGTAAAACTCTGTGCACGAATTTTCTTTTTCTCCAAATCGAACTGCAGGAAACTAATTTTCAGTATTAAGAATGCCTTATTCATTTGTTCATTTGACTGTTTCGGTTTGTTTTTTTCCCATAAGCCTGTCTTTACCTACTCACTTAGTTAACTACCTAACCCTACTAATATAGTAAAATGAAATATACAGACACAACAGGCAAGAGGTAAATAAAGAGATGAAGTGAGAGAGAGAGAGAGAGAGGGACTCAATGAGAGAGAAGAATAGAGAGGTACACTCACACATGCAGGCATATATATATATATATATATACTACTCATGTATAATGACATGGACAAGATTTGTGACCGCTGTCATTGTTGTGTTTGCTCGGCTTATCAGTACGAGTAAGTAAACAGAAAAAATGGCCTTCGTTTATATTGAATAGGGTTGGAGGTGGATAGTGGATGAATTGTTCTCCTTGTGACCCAATATACAAATTATGACTTTATTCAACTCTTAGTTATGTGATAGTCTATGCTAAGTTGGGTGAATGGCTATGAATGGATTAAGTATCACGAAAAATAAATTCAAAGAAAATAATAATAGTAGTAATAATAATAAATGAGCGGTCATAGATTCTGTAATTCCACTCTCTTCTTCTCATGAAAATAGTATATTATAACCTACCCACCCTTATTCGCTTCTGTAACAAACGCATACTGATATCTATGTCCACATATGCTTAAATTCAGCAATAGATATACACACATGTGTACATAAATCTACACAGACAAGATCGAGACTGTGCAAAACTGTGTTTATGATGGGACAACAACATATGCTGTGTTTGAGTAAAGTAAGCAAGCTGTTTCCAGCCTTAAATCATCCAGAAATAATGAATATAATGAATTACTAGAATGTTTAAAAAATCTTGCTCAATAAGAGCCTGTCTGCTCAATGGTCATTTTAGTGTTTGTAAAGTTCCTGTCTGCTTGTTTAAACCATTTTCACGAATTAGGTAATTAATCAAACAAAATACTAATTATGAACTGTAAGCAATTAATATTAAGGCAAAAATTATGCTGCGGAAAAGTCATCAAGTTTGTGCCTCATCTAAAAATATATTTATATACATAGAGCCAATGAAACACTTAAAAACTGTTGAATACATGCGAATATTGAATACTGACTTTATGCATACATTTTTCGTAAATTTTCGTAGCTGGGGTATGCGCTACACATATTCCTAATTCTGCTGCGCTCATAAACCCAATTATCTGTGTAGTTCTTCACATATCTTTAACAGTCTTTAAGATTACCAGTGTTAACAAATCAAATAAACCAATTCTAAATGAATGATAGTCTACAATGACTTACACTTTTGAAGTGTGACGTAAAAATATTCAGGGTCAATGGAGCTGGTGGCAGTTTTACTTCTTCCGTTCAAATAAAACCTTGTGATAAGTGTAAAATATCTCTAAATCCAATTCTGCTTGCTACTACAGAATGTATGTGGATCAAAATTACCCGCATAGTCATAAAATACGATAATATTACTTGCAGTAATAATTTTGAAATAAAAAACTGGTGTATCCTAAACATTGGATGTATATCATTTTATAATATAAGCAAAACTGCTAAAGCAATGGAATAACCGAGGAAAAATGATGCTGCTGAAGAAAAGTGATACAACTGTGATGCATAGTTTTCCGTTGACAGTTGTTAACGTACAAGAGCATCCACGTCACATATTAAACCTGGAGGAAGTCATCTGTCTAACCGACTCAATACAACAAATCCTGTCGTGTTTTCCATAGGAGGTACATGCTTAAATATAAATATCTGTCACCTCAGTATATTTCTAACGCCGTACACCTGACTATATCTTTTCTAAATTTAGGAATCAGTGAAGATCCAGGCATTAAAATGGCGTGCTGTTACTCATTGTCAACGTGTAATTTTACATTCGTATGATTTATGACACATTCCAGTAGTTGAATTGCTTATGAAATAACTGCATCACGTGCCATGTTGCCTAGCGTCTGGTGTAAAAAAAGTTGACAGTTTTGGTTGATTTCAATCCACTTACATAAGCACAAGTTGAAATTATTCATAAGGCTGTGATGTGAACAAAATAGTTACTTTCGATAGCATACAGTTACCGA